TTAGCCTCGGTCCTCGCCGAGGTTCTGGGCGAGGACCGAGACCGAGGTTCCGAGGCCCGAGGTCAGCAAAATCGAGGTCGAGGTTTGAAAATGGCCGAGGACCTCGGCCTCGGCCTCGGCGAGGCCTCGACCTCGACCTACTCTATTTAAAAGTACATATTTAAAACAAAATTTAATAATTATTTAAAGGTCATTATACCGCAGCCACTCGTAATTTTCTTGATGGAAAATGGCGTTTATTTAATGATAATGACGTTTCAGACAAATCTCAGAACGAAATTTGCACATCGGATTGTTCTTATATGCTTTTTTATCAACGTAAAAGTTCTATTCCTTGGTTTCCCCACGCTGTTCCATATCATATTATTCAAAAATATCATGACGATATTTATGTATAAAGATGATTAAAACAACAATAAACAAAATATTCATAAAAAATAAACTCAAGATAGAACAAATTTTTGTTTAAAGCGCATTTAAAACGTTTTAGTAAAAATTTTTAATTGTCAATAAATTTTTTAAGCGTTTTTTCAACTTATTAATTTCTTCAGAATAAAATTTTGTGTTATTAATATTGGGAAAATTTTAATGTCTATAGCTGGATTTATTTATATTTTACTATATTAAAAATTTTATGATTTTTATAAATATGAATATAAATTATCAAATTTAAATTATTTAAAAATGGCTCTAATATCGATTGTTTTATAATCGGATTACAAAGGATATTACAAAGGATATTTAATAGCGAAAAATGCCTGCCTAGATCAAGAGCAAGGAATGTTCCACTTTCAATTAGCCATTTATCTTTTACTCTTAAATTTTACAGATATTTTATTATGTGAATGTTGAATGTTTTTTTCAATATTTACAAATGATAATTTGAACGTGTGCAATTGAAAAAAAATTTTGAACAATGCAAATTTGAATATTATTTTCGCGGGCCTTTATTCCCTTCGGCTCGTGTCCCTACAAAGGATCGTAACATAAAAGGATCGCCACGGTTAAAAAAGTTCAAAGGATCGTAACGTGTAAAAACGATTAAAGGATCGACACGGGCAAAAAGTATTAAAGGGTCGCTCATTAAAGGATCGTACAACAAAGGATCGCCAAGGGTAAAACGTTCAAAGGATCGTTTTTGAGTCCCCACCCAAAAGAAGACGTTTGAGTCCCATATTTTTTAAAGATTCTTTTAGTTTATTTATGCCTCGGGCCTATTTTCTTCATGTTTTTCAACTATTTCTTATTAACTGAATGCATACATGCTCATGGATATGGATAATATCCGGATATCAACGGATACGGACGGATATGGATCAGGGCTGGGCGCGAAATTTCGCATGCGAAATTTAGCATTCCGCAATTGCGTATTTCTTATATATTTAATTTATTTGAAAAAGCGTATACGGAGTAATTTTTGTCAATTTTTTATGATTTGTTTTGCATGTATTTTGAACAAAAGTTTAGATTTTTCGCTTAATTTTTAATAGTGTATCTTTCAGGCAAAAGGCCACAAAACTACAAAAATATTTTAAAATTAGACCAAAAATAAAGGCTCAGGGCTCTTTTAAGTTAGAAAATAAGTTACTCCGTATACGCTTTTTCAAATAAATTTAATATATAAGAAAACGCAATTGCGGAATGCTAAATTTCGCATGCGAAATTTCGCGCCCAGCCCTGATATGGATAATGCTTTTTTGATGGATACGGATGAGCACGGATATGGTACTCAAATCCGCGGATATCCATCTCAAGATTTTCGTCCGCGAAGCAAAAAATTTATATTCAATTTAATCCCTTAGAATCCCCCTATATCCTTCTTAATCACCGTTATTAGACTGTTGGCACTGAACTGGCGTTATTTAATTTTAAAAAATGACGATCCTTTGATCGTTTTTACCTTTGGCGATCCTTTGATGGACGATCCTTTACTGGGCGACCCTTTGATACTTTTTGTCCGTGACGATCCTTTAACCGGTCGATCCTTTAAAAAACGATCCTTTGTATAGGAGCCCTTCGGCTTTATATGAGGATATTACTTTTGAGGACGCGACCTTGAATTATACTTATTTTATAATTTCAAAAAACTTTGGATAAGGAAATAAAAAATGATATCTGAAATATCCTTAAATTTTACAGATTTGATTTTCGTTTAATAGAACCAAATAATAATGGTTTCTAAAATCATAGACCATTATTTCAAAAAAATTTTATATTAAACATTTTTAATAAAAAATTTATTTTACATTTCCTAACACCTCATATTTATTACTTTTTTAATAAAAAACGAAAAAAAAACGATAAAGGAAAATATTTATTTACAACACATTTAATTATTCATTTTTATTCAATTTTTTAGCCAGATGTGTAAAAAGATCATTTTTCCTTTTTATTTTGAATAAAATATAAAAATATCTTTTCACAACTAATTTTCTTTTTTTTTCATTTTTTTGAATAAAATTATGTAAATGATTGAAAAAAGTTAAAATAAATTTGTTTAGTCCATTTAAATAATAAATAACCATATTTATTTCTTGTTTTACAGAAAAAAATATTTTTAAATCATTCTTACATAAATTTAAGCATTTATTAAAATTTTATTTTTCATTTTTTAATACCTCATATTATCTACGTATTATTCTATAAAATTTTATTTTAATATTTTTAATCTTCTGTAAATCATATTTCATTATTTTTTATCCATTTTATAAATAATCTTTAAATTTTTAAAAATATATTTTTCTTCTTTAAATTAACATTCCTAACGAAGATTTCCACAAAATCCTTCCGAATTTATTTTAAGATCGTAACAAAATTCGTACTCGTACCTGTATACGAAGTACGAGCAAATCTGGGCTAATGTCCAGTTTGTGTCCTACATGTCCACAAAGAAAAACGCAGTTTCCTTCCTTTTTATGCATTTTTTTCTTAATGAGTGCGCTCGCTGATTTTTCCTTTTCTGTTAGTATAGTAAACTTTGGCACTTGGAAGGAAGAATAATTTAAACTAATAAATTTAATTCTTTAATTAATTTCTTAATCCTCTAATAATTCATCAAATCTTATCCACAAGATACCTATTTTAAAAATCTTTTTGGAAGATTGCCCTAAATTTTTCATCTATGTGAGAATGGAGTATTTATCTGTACTTAACCTTAATAATTTTTAAATTAAACCATAAAAAATTAAATTTAATGAAATAAAAATAAAATAATTAAAGAAATAAATTTAGTAATGTAAATTATTTCTTCCTTTCAGGTGCCAAAGTTTACTTTACTAACAGAAAAGGAGAAATCAGCAGCGCCACTCCTTAAGAAAAGCTGCATGAAAAGGGGTTTTCGGTAAATTATTGTGGGATATGTGCGGACTAAGAGCGTTATTGTGGAAATTATGTAAATTAAGATGAATCACGATGAATCACGTGAATATATATTAAGATGATCAAGTGAATATCTCGGATTTGCGTGATTAATTGTGATAGTGGGTTCTAAGATCCATTAGATTTATTTTTGCGACTCAAGCGAGAATTATAAAAATTTTCAGAGATTTTTTTCTAAAAATATTACTTTTTTACGCCGCAGCCGAAAATTTTGAATGCCAAGTTGTTAAAAATTATATACCTATTTATAAAATATATTCAATTTTTCCATTAAATTAAGTTTATAAAAATATTTTCAAAAATAATAATTGTTTACTCATTTGTTATATTAGGGTTTGAACATAACACTTAAACATTTCATAAAATATGAACCTGAATTATCCTGCAACCACACATTCTTATTAAAGAACAGAAGAAATAGTATATACTTTTTTCAACCTTTTGACTTCCCAAACCTATTATACATCCCTCTAATCTTTTGTTTCACCTGTCTTTAGTGTTGTATAGCTATGTATATTGAAAAACATTGTCCAATCCGAGTATGATAAATTGCTAGGGCCGGGAAATCGGTTTATTTTAATTTTAAATATAGATAATTCCGCCTTCTGCTTGGCCTCCAAATCCATCAAAAAAATCGAGAGTTTATCATGATGTGGATAATTATATAATTGAAAGTTCAACGTATGTCTCAATCATCTGTTATGAATTAGTAAATAAATAATTATTTAAGAAGGGAAAAAATCGAGTTGATTAATAAAGGAGTCTTTATAAAAAACAATGTTGAATTTAAGAGTCAAATGAGAGTCAAGGAGTTAAAAAAGTAAATATCATCGACGAAATTCAGAAAGCCAGATAATTTAGATTTATGTAATTTAGAGAGGTATATGAAATTTATGTATTTTTAAATAAATTTTACAGTTATTTCTGGAAGAATATATTGAAAAATGAGGCTAAAAATGAGCCTGGGTCAGATAAACCAGGCTCCTTTTTTGATGATAATTTAAAAGAATTTAATATAAAAAATCATTTTGGATGTTCTTATGGAGAAAAAGGTGACTTAATAATAATATGTTTAAATTGATATATTTAGAACAGGGCAAATATTTTTGAGGTTGTCAACACTCCTTACCTCTATTTTGGAGCATTTAAGAGTATATTTTCTTGGCATATAGAAGATAAGGACCTCTAATCAATTAATTATTCAGATTTTGGAGTGGTCTGATCGTGTAATTATAAAACAAATAATTATTAATTAAATATTAATCGAGTCATAATAATTGTCGCTTTTTTAATTTGGATATTTTTTATTTTTATTATAATTCATCTATTATGCTACGTCTACATAAAAAACGCTAGCGTTTTGCGGAAAACGCTGGCGGAAAAAACGCTGGCGGAAAACGCTAAAAAGTGTCTACATAAAAACAGCGTTTTCTGCCTAGCGGAAAAACGCATTGCGGAAAACGCTGTTTTTATGTAGACACACATCAGCGTTTTCCGCCGGCGTTTTTTCCGCTAGCGTTTTCCGCAAAACGCTAGCGTTTTTTATGTAGACACTCGACTTTTTTGATATAAATATTAAAATGAAATTTTTATCAAAAATTTTTATCAAACAATTACTAAATTTAAACCATTTTTTCTTGCCATGCAACTGATCCAATATCACTATTAAAATAATTCATTAAATTTTCTCTCATCATCTTTGCTTCAACGGGCCAATTTCTTGCATGATTTTGAATTTGTTGAGTTGATGGAAGGGGTTCTGAACCAGATAATAAGTTGCGCCATTCACCATTTTCTAAATCTCGATAAACTTCTGTTTCATGATCAACCATCGAAAGTATTTTATTTGTTGTTGATTCATCAATTAAAAAATTATGTAATACAATAATAGCCATTTTACACACATTATTCCAAAAACATTCTCAATAACCCTTCTAGCTCTTGAAATCCTATTTAAAATTTAAATAATTTAATTTTACAAAATAAACCTGTAATTGTAAATCCGTTGCTGATGTGAAAGTGCATTACCAGAAAAAGGTTTCATAATGTTCAAAGAAAGTGGAAAAGCCGCATCAGCAACAATGAAATAATTTATTTTGTCAGAATCAGGCAAGCCTGGTAAATGGGTTGGTTCAGGAATATTCAACAAATTATTGGGTTTACGAACTCTAACCAATTTTCCATCCAACGCTCCTAAATTTAATTAAAATATTAAATTGTTTTTATATTTCTCACAAACCAATACACAAAGGCATGTTCCATCTTTTTTCAAACCCATTAGCAATATTTTTCCATTCTTCATTTGATGAAGGTAATTTCACATATTTTTCGTGTAATGACCAGATAGCCTTCGAAACACGTTTGACAATTAAAAATATTGTTGATCTGCTTCTACGAAATGAATATTCAAGTGCACGATATTGCATTCCAGTAGCAAAAAAACGTAAACAAATGATTAGCTGTTCTTCGGGTGAAACTCCTCTTTTACTCTTCAACTCAATTCTAAAAAAATAATACTTAATTTAAAAATTGATAAGAAACAACTTTGATTTAATTTGTGCTAAAAGAAGATCAAATTTACGCCATTTACGCCCCTTTACGCCAAATTATTTCATTCTGTTGTATCATCTCAATAAATAAATTCATATCAATTTTGGTTGACATTTAAAAAAATATTTTTTTATCTAAAAAGAAGAAAAAATTATTTAGATAAATTATTTTAGAGTTAAAATACAATTTTTAAAAATTACTACCCTTCAAAAGGGCCCCCCTTTTCAATTTTACAAAAAAATTAACAAAAAGTATACCTTTTTCAAAAAAAAATTTGTGATAAAATTTCAAACTTAAAAAATAAAAACTTATATCAATCGATAGATAAAAGTTTAAATTTTAATAATCTTTTTAAATTTTTAAAATTGGTTCAATATTGATCGAGAAATTAATTTTTTAATTTTATCAAAAATTTTCCGCAAAAAAATATCAAACTGTTTTGATATTAAAATTCTTCCGCCGGCGGAAAAAACGCAGCGGAAAACGCAATTTATGTAGACACTCAAACTGCCGAAAAAACGCTAGCGTTTTTTCCGCCGGCGGAAAACGCAACTTATGTAGACACTCAAACCGCCGAAAAAACGCTAGCGTTTTTTCGGCAGCGGAAAACGCAATTTATGTAGACACTCTCAGTTTGCCGAAAAAACGCCGGCGTTTTTTCTCTCTCACTTTTCCATACTATTTTCTGCGGAAAACGCGCGCGTTTTTTTATGTAGACGTAGCATTAGAGCGTTTTCTAAAAGATCCGAGCATTTGAGAATTTTTAGTAAGATATTCAGTGACTTCTGATCGAAAATATCAAAATTTTCTAAAAATCGGTAATCAAATTTTTTCAAGTATATGTAATGATAATATTTAGTGTAATATATAATTCGAAAGTTTTCGAAATATCTATCAGGAGGGCACAAAGTCGAATTTTTTATCGGAAAAGTCTAAATTTTCAAAAAAGTTCGGATTTCGAATTCCTAGTTCGACACTATTTACAGACTTTATAGAATAAATGTACTGTAAGACTTGTACGGAATTTAAAATTCAGTTTAGATCATCCTGATCGGATGATTTTACGGGGTCCTTACTTACATCATCTTGGCTGTTTCATTTTTGTGAAAGTCTTAAATGCTCCAAAATTGGCTGTTTCATTTTGTGAAACAATCAAGTTTTCCTCGTAAAATTCGAACTCTATACGGCCTTACTCGGAAAGCCTGAACTCTATTCTTTGCTGTCAAGCATAGACAACGGCCCTATTAACTAGATCATTATGATTTTTTGCTCCTTGTTTTGCATTTTAGGTAATTTAAAATTTATGGTGTAAATGATTGTAAATTTCAGTACGCGGTAGTGAGGTTTAAAATATGTATCATAACCTTAAAAAAATCACATTTATATTGATATAACTAGTATTATAATGAAAAGTGATTAGATCTTTATGTTGATTAGTTAGAAAAGAATATTTGTAAATCAACACTTCTAAAAATTTAATCAAAAAAAAAGCGACACCAATTATGACACGACCTCATAATTTTAATAAGATTTTGTTAATTTTATATGTTAAATGTGAGTAGTTATATTATTTAGACAAAATTCTGGTATTCGATACCTGCTAATTATTCTGAAAGTTTTGAAACAATGGCTTCAACAATGGCTTTTCTTTCGAAATTTCGATTTAAAGAAAGCACTTTATTTTAATTGACTTTTTCTTAATTAAGAGTGAATAAGGCAGACAGGGATTTTAGCCAGGAAATTTTAAAGTTTTGTTTTTACATTTAAAATGATTCAAAAAAATTAACTAAGAATTAATCTAAAAAATTAAATACTCTCAAAAATATTTTTAAATAGCTAACAAAAAACTAAAAAATATTCTTTTTGAGATTATTTATTTACATACAGGGTGTTTCAGCTGAAAAGCGCTATTTGAAAAATTAATAAACTTTTACTGCGTGGACAGATTTAAATGAAATTTTGTATTTTGCATCTATATTTTATGGCAATTTTTTTGACATAAAAATTATGTCGAAATTCGAACCCTACCCCGAGATAATTTCGTTCTCTACCGTTCTGTTTTTCCCTTTTTCCGCACATGCATTCTTACTTCCCTTTATTTGTTGTAAGGGGAGACAGACACTAGAGTAAACACTAGGCGATAGACACTACATTTTCAATACAGTATCCTTCTCTTCGCCATACGCAGGAAAATAAATGCACTAAGATAGCACACAATGAAAAGAGGGAAAAAAGAGAACGGTTGAGTACGAAATTGAAATACAGGGTTAGGGTTCGAATTTAGACATAATTTTTATGTCAAAAAAATTCTCATAAATTATAGATATAAAATACCAAAGATCATTAAAATCCGTCAAGATAGTAAAAAGTTATTAATTTTTAAAATAGTGCTTTTTAGCTGGGACACCCTGTATTTTTAGTTAAATTTATTCAATAATATTTCTTTATTTTACGAACTAAACTAGCTTACAAAATTTGGAAAGAAAGTCCATTAATTTTATCGTTATTTTTTTAAAAAATTACTATGTATATGCCAGGCTTTAAATTTAACGATATTAATCCAATGTCATTGCTGGACGGTAGGAATAGATATTGACAGTATTTATATCAGGTTAATTAATAACTACAGATTTTTAATATTTTTTATAAATTTTTTGTTTCTAAATCTAAATCAATTATTTAAAAAATAATTGATTATAAAAAATAAAAAATAATTGATTTCTTTTTAATAAATAGGGACTCTAAGGACTCTAAACGTGATTTTAAGACATCTAACATCTTTTTACAATAGCAGTGAACAACGTTTTTAGGTTTAGTTTCAACTCGAACCTTCTCGAGTTATAGAGCTCGGGACTGAAACGTCTTCAATTAATAAATCGTCATTAATATGTCTATATACTTATACTACTCTACATTAATTTAAATTGAGTATATGTTATAAAACATATCAATTATATATTCCATTAAAAGTAAATTCGATTACTATTAAGGAATTTTAATCAACACAGTTTAGCAGCAATTTATAAAATTTTACAAATTTTAGATTGAATTATATTAGACAATAGAAATGCATAACATTTAAATGAAATAACTATCTTATATAATAAATAATAAAAACCCGCTGAATATTTCAGCATATCCCCGGGGAGGGAAGACACATCTTAACATTAAAAAAATTATTAAAAAGTTTGAGTAGGATTATTTTTATTTTCAATACTCAAAATAAACAAATTGAATGAAATTAAAAAAATAATAATTTATTATAATAAATTTTACATCTAATAGTATTTAATCTTTTATAAAATTTTAAAAATATAAGTTTATATGAAAATTTAAATAATTTTATTGAATGAAAGACTATTTTTCTCTAAGTAATTAGATAATAAAGTTGTTGACGCTCTAAAGTTAAAATAACATAGAATGATAAAATTGCCATTATATTTCATATAAAGAGACCTTGCTCTACCTAATCGGCATTGTAAGCGTCAAGGATGTAAGAAGCTTTACTTAAAATCTATTTAGCCACTGGTTAATATAGCCAGTGGTTAATAGAACACCCATTTAGTCGGTGGTTAATAGAACTTCAGAACTATCAAATTACATTAGTACACATTAGTACACTATTTCTATTTTTAAAATAGTTACTATGATAGCCTATTATAGAAAAAATTATGATATATTAAAAGATGGCTTATTGAATTCTAATTGTATCAATACACTAAAATAAGTTATAATTTATTAACAATTCTAGGCGATATTATTAATATTAGTGAAAATAAAATTTAGTTATTTTTCAATAAACTTAATATTCAATTATAAAGCGTAATAAATAAGTCATAAAAATACATTTTTACAAGAAATTATTGTTTTATTAATTTAATGTATGAATTAAAAGTTATAAATATATAAAAATTAAGGAAAGTTTTTGAATAAAATAATTTTGAATAAATCATGCAGAACTTCTAAAAATATAATTTTAATATGAATTTAAACTCTTATAAACAAATTTCATTAAACCTTCCTCACTTCCTTGAACCTTCAGTGAAGAAAGAGTCTGTATTACCCAATCACTTCAGAAAAAATACCTTTTGTTGGATAGGTATTATTCAACAAATTGATTATTCGTGTTGAACGGGTAAGATTTGTATTTTATTTAATATTCGTAATAAATTTTATTGTTGAGAAAATACTTAATACGATTGCAAGATTTTAGGGGTAAAATTAATAATAAATTAAGCCTAAGAATTAGTTGAAGAAGTGGGCATTTTAATGGGTAAAAATACAGATTAGAAGGTGGAAAATACCATTTTTAAGAATTCAAACTTAATATAAAGAAGTTCAAAAATTTAGAGAGAAAACATAAATTAACATAAATTATTATTATTTTTTTCAGCACGTGATTATATGGACCGAATTATAGTTACTAAAATTTAAAAATCATTGATTAGTTTTTCAAATAGAAAGAGGAAAAAAATTTTAATGAAAATGAAACGATAAATGAAATAATTCAGAAACGAAAAGGGAATTTTGATAAAGAAATGAAAAAGTAGAGCAGTAAAAAACACAATTGAAATTTGATAACAATTTTTATACATATTGTTTTATAATCGTTTTTATACATTCATCGTTTCGTGTCTGCCGGCTTCCTTAAATTGTAGCGCTTTCAACTCGATCTATAATATCTAAATAAAATGATTTTTAAATCAAAATCAACCATCTGCTTTCGTATTTTTAGTTGATTTCTTTATTCTTTGCTGTTTATGGTAACAAGCAGCACATAAATAGTGTCCTTGTTTTGAATAACGGTACCAATGTGATGTATCAGTAACATCGCAAATATAACAATTTCGATCTTTTGGTGTTATCTTAACATTTATAAGAAAATGTATGTACATAGATAAAAGTTTTCTTACGTGTAAAATATTTATTAATTACTTTGATCATACAGATTTACGAAAATATTATTTTTAAGCGAGATCGAATGTTGGTTTAGTCAAAACGGTGTTTATAGGAACGAGCAGTTCAGGATTGCTTAAATTACATAATGAGAAGTGATCTAACGTTAGTAAATAATACTACTATATAACTCCACTTGGATTATCGATTGATTCTCTCTTCTTCTTCAAAAAGGTATTGGCTTTTGTTCAAAGCCTTTACTTCGCTGCTTGCACGTGACTGCCACGTGCAACCAGCCAAAACCTTTTGAAGGGTTTTGCGGTAAATTTTTTTCCCAGCCAAACCAAAACCTTTTGAAAGGTTTTGCGGCAAAATTTTTCCAAGTCTTTTTCCCCAGCCACCCAAAACCTATTAAAATTATTTTTAAAATTTATTTCCCACCAGCGGAGTCGAACCACCAACCTTCAGCCTGTAGGCGGACGCCTTATCCATTCGCCCGCTCGCGAGTGGTAATAGCTTTTAATTAAAATTGAATATATGTCGGCTGGTTTCCGCCTCTCTTCAACCAGCTTCAACGGGAAAATTTATTATCGATCGAATCGCCCCCTAAACGCCCACTAAGAGAAAATAGAAAGAAAATAAAGAGATAGTGTGTTGAATAAAGAGAGACAGCACTGACTCAACCTGGTTGAGTCAGCGCATGTTCTCTAACCCCTCCTCCTCCCAGTGGGAAAATTTATTATTGATCTAATTCCCCGGTAAATGCTCACTAGGAGAAAATAGAAAATGAAATAAAGGAGATAGTGTGGTAACTATAGGAGAGACAGCACTGACTCAACCGGCTTGAGTCAGTGCAGGAGAAAAGTCTCTAACCCAGCCGTCTGGGTTAGAGAATAGAAAAATAGTGTGGCAGCTGGATGGCTGTCACAAACTACAGCCATCCAGCTGCGGGGGAAGAGAGAGAGTGTACTCTCTTAGGAAAGTACACTCTCTCTCTATTTTTTTTCCTGCAGCAGGAAAACTACCCAATAAAACCACATTTGGCAAGCACACAGTCAAACCACAATTGTCCAACTACCCTATAAAATTCCATTTGGCCAACTACCCTATAAACTCATTTGGTCCAACTTTTGCTTATTATTTTTGGTCCCGCGTAGAAATAAGGGGAAAATTTTGGACAATATCCGCTGCCTCGCTATTGGTTAAATAGTTCGGTTGCGTAAATATCTTATTGTTGAAACCCAACAAATGATTAGGATGGGTAATAAAAGTGAATATAATACGAGAATAATGGGAAATCCTGTACTTATTGTTTGGCCCTGTTTACCCTCCAAGTATTCTCTATCAAAAGATAAAAAATCGTAAGGAATGTAGCTTGTATTGTTCATTATTATTATTACCAAATTCATGAAAGTTGTTATGTATTAACCTAGTGTTGAATCAGAAACAATATGTCTGTTATAATCAATCATTAGCAATTGGTCAAACTCGCCCATAATAATCATCTCAACACCACCTGCAGGAATTGGAGAATTAAATTCTAGTCGAACACTCGTTGTTCCGCTACGTAAAAGCTCAAAACCACAAGAATCATCTAACGTAGATGTTAGTGGAATAACAAAGAAGCTCCAGCCTGATTTAAATTGGGCCATTGAAATATCGAAGGACCTATCTGAATTGGCCATCCCCAATGCTTCATACATGTCAACATAAGCCCTTACGAATATATCTTCCTCAAACTTAAGCTTATAAGAGACCATTGGATAAATATGGCCGCCAGTATGAACTGAAATATCTCTCAAATTGAATGGTTTAAAATTAAATGGTGAAAGACTAATGTCCCCGTTAAATGCTCCATTTGCAACAAGTGCAACTGTAATTCTTCTAGGAATGGTTGAACTAAATGCATTATATTCAATCTCGGTTCTCCCGGGACTTAGGAACGTTGATTTTAGCTCAGTTCTTCTCATTGCATAAGTAGCCGGCTTTGATTCGAGAGTTTTGTAAATGCTCATGTTAAGTGAGGGCTGGACCTCAATCATTTTCGCTAATAATTTAACATCGTGGACAAAGATTCTATACTGATTTTCGTCAGTAGGATTCAACTTCTGTAAAGCAAAAGCATCTTTGGAGCGATAGATACTTAAGTGAATATCGAGATTGTTGAGTAAAAATAATTCCCGATTCCCCAAATCAAAATCTAAACGAGAAAGGAACTGGGCCCGCTTTCCTTCTTTAAAAATTGAGCAACGTTCTAGAAAGCCATGATCAGTAATATCATCATGTTTAGTGCTTGACCGATACCCAACGGAAGACAGAAAATTTGTTTTTACATTTTCAGGAAATGAGAGTTCATTTGTTAAATAAGATTTATAAGGATAAAGAGTTCCACTATCATAAACCTCTGTATTACCTACAGTAACTTTAAGTTGCTGAACAAATGTTTGCCCGATTCCCTGGATTGATCCAATACCAGTATCCGTTGCCAAAATACGTGTCCATTTTCCTCCTGCTTCCTGTTTTTCAATTGAAAGCTCAAGGTGAAGATATGTCCGACTCAAATCTGTCCAGAGATTATCACTAAACAAGCGAAATAGATAGGGAGAGTCTTGTGTTATTGTACTTAGTGGAAGAATTTCGCGAAAGAAGGAACGAATAACAGAAACATTTGTGGGAGGAACGGAAAAAATGCTTAAAGCACAGTTGAGAGCTAGTGGGCTGTTCTCATTAATCTTCTTGGAACAACTCATTTTAATATGGTCCTAATGCGTCTACGCGTAAACGTTTCTTTGGACGAGATGATTTCCTTTTTGAAAACTTAGGAATAAAGTTTGGTGGGCCAATCTTGGAATAACAAGTCTTATTTATATTTTCGTTATTCATCAGCCCAATTGTCTTGGGACGAATTTTCTTTTGTCTTTTGAATTCAAAACCACTTCCTTTTTGCTGCTCAATATTATTGGCTGCTTTTTCTAACAAATTCTTAAGTCCTGATTTACCCGCATTTACAAGGGATTCTTTAAGGTCTTTCCCTTCCAATACGTTACTCAAGACACGATTGCCTGATTCCAACCCTTGGCGGCCAATGGCTGTGCCACTGTCTTTACCAATTGGAATCAAATACCTCAGCAAACTTCGAAAAACAGATCCTAAACCGCTACCTCTTTGGAAGGGAACTCCACGAAAAACGTTATAACCACCCCATTGGTCATGAGATTCGGTCAACGACGACCAATCAACATAGAGAGGATTAAAGTCAATATGCATTGTAATGTACAAAATTTGCTCTTTCAATTATTTATATTAAAAGCTTTAGTAGCAATAAACTGCGAGACAAATCTATCAGAATTCACTCTGCTTAATATTAAAATAATATTTTCCATTGAAAAACCTGAACAACGCATAAACAAGAAAAATATTGCGTATTTACCACAAGTGTGCTCCATTGGCTGCTGTATTTGAATATTTTTATGGTTGAATATAATGATAGTCTAATGCATTGTAGACCTGGATTACATGAAAAATTTTATAAACCCAGAATATATCGTTTTTTATTTTAATAATTCTACTATATATCTAATTAATGCATGATTTAAACTTAATTTTTAACTAATTTTAATCATTTAATTATAAGTTTTGAAATTGTTTTTATTTTATAGTTTTATTTTTTTATTTTAAAGAAATTTAAACAAATTTAACTTTTTCTATAATATTTTTATATATTTTTATAGTATATTTTTAAATAACCCTAATTTCGAAGAATAATAAAAATATTATGATTAATAAAAATTTATATTTTCCATTAATGTTGGTTTTCAGGTATAATAAATTGTTGTTATTCAATTCTTTTTCTTTAGTACTAAATTAAAGTATTTGTTAAAAATTAAAATTATGTTTTGGATAATTAAAATATTAAAGCGGGTAATAAATATATTTTGCATCAAATTAATTTTAATAAATCTAATTTTTTAATCATGCATTTCAATTTATTAAATAAATACAATAAAAATTTATTCAAAATTTATAAAATAAAATATACCTATTTATCATTTTTAATATAATAATAATATATTACTTATTTTAATAAAGCATTAATTTTGAAACCCGATGAGCATTATTTACATACTTTATAGCATTATTTACCAAGCCGATCTCAAAATTTAATTGTGAGCTTGTCTTCCAGTTTTTCTTCGCGCAGAGTTTGAATCTCTACTCGTAAAGTTTTATTTCAATAAGGGCGCATTGAAAATCAGAATTTTTTACATTATCAGACAATATAAGATTGAAAATTCAAAGAAAATATTATATAAAACTAAATAACTTTTTTATTAAATACTGTATTGAATAATATTTTCAAAAATTATTTAAAACAATTGTAGTTAAATTAATTTTACTTTAGTCTGTTGAAATTAGTTTAATTAACTATTAAATATTTAGTAAAATATATTAATTTACTTATTATTGCTTGTAAAATCTTAACATTTTATATTGCTGATCATCCAATCTTTATACAAGCGATTTACTCAATTATATAGATGTTAATTTTTGTCTGAAAATTTTCAAATTAAATTTCAATCCTAATATTTTCAATAACAAATTCAATAAAATTATTTATTAAAATGATGAAAAGTTTCTTAAAAACTGCTGTTTTATTATTAAAACTTTATTCTTCGAATATAAATTAATATTATATGAAAAAGCTGAAAATAAAATAAAATAAACAAAACTCGATAGTTATTAAAAATAAAAATAACGAGTAAATAATTTTTAAAAATAAAAATATTTATTTCAAAAATAATTTCAATAATTACATTACACACTATTAATTATTGTAACTTAGTATAGAAACTAATTACAAGAAACTAATTTAGAATAGAATTGAAGAACATTTTACCCTTAGATTCGACTACTAAATCTCGGGTTCGTTCTTCTCTTTATTGTGTTTTTGTTTTTGAGCTTTAAAGAATTTTTTTAACATGCATCCAACTTCAACACTTGCTGGTTCACTAATGGACTTTGGTGGCGCTCAGCAATATAAAATTACGCAGCAGTTATAAATATAAAATGAACTTTTAGTTTAATAAATCATTAATTTATATTTTTGGTAGAATTATTGAAAGTATAATGATTTTGTAAAATGTAGATGTACTATTAAAAAATGTGATTGATTAGCAACATAATAAGACATTTGAGAGAATAGACCTTTACTGGAAGAAACATCGAAATTCTCCACTTAAATTATTTTTTTAAATTTTGTATTGGCTAATAGATATATTTGATCCAATGAAATATCAGTCTACTTAAGGAGTATCATTAATAATAATAAATACACATAAATGCAGAAACCTTTTATATCGGATTTAATACAATAAAAGATAAAATAATAAATAGAACAAAATAAAAGATTATGAGATAAAAAATATTAGAGACATTAATTGATCATCCATAGTCAAGATTAACGAGAAATGCGGTGTAGAATCATCACTATTTATTGTAAGTGACATTT